CGGCGAACTGAGAAGGTCCTTATCGCGTCTACGCCAAAACCGGAACCAGAGTGTATTACTTAGAAAATTTACAAGGGGAACAGCTCGTTCGATCATGGAACACTAAAAAGCTAAAACAATACTACAGTTGAAAAGACTGAGCTGTCGGCAGGTTCAGTCGACAAGACAGACCCGCCTGAACCCGACCACGCGTGCGCGCCTAGGAACAAGCATAGCACCCAAAGTATGTAGAAAGGGTGAGGTTCCGCTCTGTGACGAGCATACACTTAGCCTGATGTGGATAACTTGACCGAGCTCCACAGTTTTTGTGCCATAACGGTAGAACGCCCGACTCGCGATGGGAAGTTCACGCTGCCGAACCCGAGTCCCTCGAAAATGAGACCTGGATTCTGGCTCTCGCCCGACATTCGCCCTGACAGTTTGATCGGTCTCCCCACACCGACGAACATATAAAACGAGCATATCCCCGATATAAACTCAGCAAAATACAAAAGTCATAATCGGCCTGACTTGTCAACAATCACACAAATAACACATTAAATATTCAAAGCAAAATGACCAATGGCCGAAAAATAAATAGAGCGACCACTTGGGCCAAAATTGTGCAAAAATTACATAAACGGGTAATAGCCTGGGAAACAACAAATATTACAAAAAACGGCACACATGCCGAAACAAATAAATGATCATCCCTCCGCTTCTCCTTCGACGATAGGCGACAATATAACGGGATCCCCAGCCGGTTGATCGATGACATCCCTCAGGTAGTCGGGAACCATAATCTATCTGTCAGTCACATAGTAATTGACCCCCATGCCCGAAGTATTGAGCTCAACACCGGGATTCAACACACGTATCTAATTCACCGTGTTGTCGAAGCTCCCCTCGGAAGCAGCCTGAGCATCATCCACTGCAAGATGGAAACAGGCAACTAGATCGGCCCGAGTCTTCAGGTCCTTGGTATCCTGCGGCTCGTCATCAGCGGGCGCTAGCTCGGCGGTCAAGGCTGCCACCCTCCCTTCGAGACTCTCTCTCTTGAGCGTGAAGGCGCTGTGCTCCTCGACCAACTTCCCCGACTCTGCCTCAGCCAACTTTAAGGCTTTGTCTTTATCGACCAAGGCCTTCTCGGTCGTCGCCAATTTTGCTCGGAGGTTCTTGATTTCCATCTCCCGGGATAAACTCCCCTCGATATACGCCACGGCTATCTCCAAGATCTGCATCAATCCACCCGCATATTGAGCCAACGTCGCCCTCTTTTCCGGATGACTCGTTCCCTCGAGAAGGAGAGATTCGGCCCTGGGAAGACGAAGTGTCGCACTCTCAAAAAAGGACCTCTCCAGCCACCAGGGAGGCGGATCATAAGCCCCTTTTCCCATCTACCCAGTAAGGTTAACGCTCCCCTCAGGTCAATGCCTTTTCTCCTTCAAGGAAATAACAAACAGAGATAAAGCAGTTGTGGACGGGGTCGAGGACGACCCACCTGGTCCAGGAGCAGGAGTTGGCCCCGCATTAGTTTGGGCATCCTTCTTGGCCTTTCTCGCCCGAGCAGCGAGTGTCTTGGCCAGACGTTCTTGAGCAGGATTCATATTTTATGTAAAACAAAGAAAAAACAAGACTCAATAAAACGACAGGTCAAACAAACGACGATCACATACTGGAAAAATAAAATCTATACCCGGATATCTAACGGGATCCTCGCTCTCAAGGAGCTCCTGGACGTTTATGAGACCCAACTCGAACACGGGCTCCCCGTTTCTGTCCAACACTGGCCTACCTCCTCGACCGACTCACTGGATCGGAGGAATTTGAGCAACAAACGAGGTCAAAGTAGTGAAGCTCGACATGTCCTCATCCCCAAGCTCCCCCTCTCTCCAAACATAAGAGCCCAACTCCTTATCGAAATGTATGCTAGTCCATTGGAACGGGAACTTGGTGACCAACGTCGCAGTAGGCTCCCCTAACTCGTTAATTCGAGGAGTCCAATCCTCATTGAGAGACAACCGACTCCTAAAAACATTCAGTAGTGCCTTCATCGACGTGGGCTATACCAAAATGTACTTGTCTTTGAAATGGCGCACAGACTCCAAGTAGGCCTTGAACAACTTCCCGCTGCCCTGTTTGAGGGAGACCCATCCCCACCGCCCGTCAGCCCGACTCCTCTGAATATGAAAGCAATAGAAGAACAACAGGATCATGGCCTCGATCTTCAGATAATCGCACACTATCTGGAATGCCCTCCCAAATGCAATCCTGTTCGGGTGCAACTGAGAAAGAGCCACATGCAGATGCCGGAAAACGGCCACTTCAAAGTCAGAAAAGGAAGACGGAGACCCATCTCCCGGAAAACTATGTCATATATAGGAATCCGCGTCATGTTATATCTTGAGCAAATCCTACTGTCTTTCCCGGGGATATACAACGACCACTCCTCCCGGGCTCCCTCCTCGTGTACATAAACGTCGGTGAAAACGTTTTTCCCGTGCTCGTAAAAGTATGATCGCCACTCCTAAGGGTCCTTAGCTACCCAATCTCGAGGATATTCGTCATATCGAGGAGGAAATAGGTCGTCTCGTGCCGAAGAGGTCTCCCCTATGTCGGGTCCCCCATCTGTTGATCCACTAGGTTTTGCTGCTCCCTAAAGATTTCTAATATGCTCGACGAGCTGCCACTGGTCTCGCTCGAAGATCACCTGGAATATTCTGTGGATTCGCTCGAAATGATAACATGCGCGTCGTCAGCCATAGCACCTGAAAAGCAGAGGAAAAGGGTGAGCTCGACATCAATGCCAGAACCACCCTTCCACTGGTAAACATGTGAAAGGGCGCTGGGAGACGAGGATCCTATCCCCGACCAGAACCCTCACTGAGGCGTGCTGCCAGACACAAAACACATAAAAAGTCCAGAAATCCACTAAGGTACTCTAACGGGCACAAGTTGCAGAAAAAACTCAAACCCAAAATGAATCACCTATAGCACGCCGCCAGGCCCCCGAGAGAGCTACACGGTGGCTCCGGCAGCCATGCGCCGCAAGAACGACGTCCGCCACCTAGGGTCTCTAACGATCTCATCCCTAACGGAAACCTAAATCATAATCACATGGATATCTAAGAAGCAAAAAACGAAAGCGATAAAACATGCAACAATGGAGAAACGGGAACTCACTGAGAGAAGAAGAGAAGAAGCTGGATGGCTGCAAACGAAGAAACTGAGCAAATGCTGGTGGTCGACCGTACTAATCGCCCCGTTCCTCTTGTATTTATAGCTGAAACAGTCCGCGCGTACAAAACGCACGCCTTGGGAACCCCAGGGTCGTCATCATGACACCCTAGCCCTAGGCCATCATTTGCGCCACTCGACCGACACGTTTCCCAAAACACGCTACCTCTCTAAATTCAACGGTCCCAACGGCAAACATTTTGCCTTCCTGACGAAGAAGTACAATGGACGAAATGCCCATTTCCCCGTCCTCCGAAAAGACATCAAAGTCTTCGCTCATGTGCCCAAAAGCAACGACTCGGGGCTACTGTTCTGGACTGGTCTGAAAGCTTGAGTGGGCCCAGTCTAAGGCATCTCATGGGTGCCACCCACCGACCGTGACCAGGACTGCCCGCACCTGTCGGGCAATACCACCCTCTTGCCCTTTTGATTCAACTCTGATCCGAGATGCTCGTCGAGCATCTTTCCCAGTCAGCCCGACTCTAACGTCGTACGGACCACCAGGGACCGACCAGAGAGTTATCCACGATCAGCCTCCTCCCCGGAGCCAACGACTAGTTGCGGGCACATCTGCCCGGTTTGACCAAGTCCTGACAGTTACCTGATTTTCTGGATCCGCATATCTAGGCAGGAAATCAGAAACCAATGGCCATGCGCCAGGGGCAATATATAAACCCTCACACCCGTGAGAGCCAGGTATCACATACTTACTACTCACTACCTAATATTTTGCTAGTACCTTCTTGCTCCCGCTCTTACTTGATCGTTGGAGTACCTTGCAGGTACAACCCCCTCTCTCCTCTGCCCGACTAAAGATCATCCTCCGACCACTCTCCAGATTTTGATCAACTGCAAGATCATATATATATATATATATATATATATATATATATATATATATATATATATATATATATAATATTTAAAAAATCCAATATTTAAGCATAAAATTTCCAGAAAATAATGCATTTTAACTGATATATTAGAAACAATAAACTAAAAATTTCCAATATTTTTTTTGTAATATCCGTATTTCTTCAAATGAACTCAAATTTTTTGATATTATATAAAAAAATCTCTCACTTTTTAAAAAACCATATATATTACACAAGGAAATAATATAATGGTAAGATAATTTCTTAATGCATCCTAAGTGTTTCTTAGGCACTGTTGTGAAATTCTAAAAATATTCCAAAAACCGGAAATACATTTTCAATGTGTATCCTATCCTATACACATATATAATTCATTCGATTTTGAAATTCGCTCTATTTTATGATAAAATTGATTATGGAAATACACCTCCAATATAAACTAGAAATGTATTTCCAATTTTTAATTAGCAAAAGAGGATACCTTTGTCCAAAAATCTATATACAAAAACAAGAAAATTAGAAGAAACATTTATAAAATATGAAGCAAAGAAAAATCATTCCAAAAGGAAACAATATATAAATATATATAAAAAAACATGGTTTAGCACATAACAATGTTTTTTAGAGAGTTAAAAACAGTAGAACTTAATTGTTAGCACTTAGCAATATTATTAGGATCATTTCCTAAAAATCAAGGTATTTTTCATAGTTAATGAGGGTGTTTTAAGTGTGGGGTGACACCTAAAAATCCCAAATTCTTGTGAACTAGGCCTAGGCCTAGGCCCATCGGACATATCAAGTATGCTTCTTCTCCGTTTTCACTTTCCTCTTTCCATTAAAAACCTGAGAGAGAAGCAAACACTTGAAGCTATTCTCTGTTATTCTTTGTAGAATCATTTCCTTCCTAGTATGTCGCATTTCCTACGAAAATCCCTTTCCTCGTTTCTATACAGACCAACGTTGTTTTGCTGTCGCCACTTCTCACATTCCCATCCCCACAACACCACTTCTCTGTTCTCTCCCACGTGGCTCTCAAGAAACAGTTACACAAACGGGCTATCTCCCACGCGGGCCCGCTTCTGGGCCTCTCAGCCCGCCGTCACCGAACCCTCAACCTCCGACGGTCTCACCGTCGAAGGAATTATATCCAATAACTGGACCATTCTCGATGAAAACGACGGCGATTGGAAGAGTCACGCAGCAGCTATAGCTCAATCTATTACCTTGATTAAACGCCGATTACAGGTAAATTAAACCTTTAACTAATCATGAATCATGATCATTTTTTGAATGATTAATGGTTTGGTAGAAATTGATTAGACAGTGTTTCTGTGTTTGTGGTGGCAGTGGAAGAAATTGAAGGTTAGGTTGAATATGTTATCAGTTCAGCTGAATAAGGAAGATCTTTGGGATGATCCTGTTCGTGCTGGTAAAATTAACAGGGAACATGGTTCGTTGCTTGGGAAAATGAAAGAGGTGAATGGATTGGAGAGAGAGTTACTTGAGCATATTGAAATGATAAAGCTCGCTCGTGAAGAGAATCATGAGGAGTTGGAATTGGTGGGGACTTCATTCATCATCTAGGCATGTATTTATCTGTTTTTTTTTTTTTTTTTTTACCTTAGGGTTTGAATTTCATAGAAAAGGGATTGGGTTTAAGAGATTGTAGCATAAGTGTTTATCATATAAGTGATTATATATAAGGTGTTTCTATAACAAAAGATATAACAAAGGGAAACTGATTTTATTTAAGGTATAAGACGTTTTTCATAGTATAAGGTATAAGTTGTTTTTCATAGATAAGTATCCCGGGGAGCTTATAGAAATAAGTTGAAAACAACTTATGGTAGTGTAAATATAATTAGCTGTTTTTATGATGCTATTTTTCATAGACAAGTTATCCCGAAGAACTTATAGAAATAAGCTGAAAGCAACTTATGGTCGTGTAATTGGCTGTTTTTATAAGCTTTCCTAGGCAGTCTTAGAATTGTTTATTATTGGAAAAACCCAGCCTTTGTCTCTGCCTCCCAAAAATTGAAGGAAAAGAACCAAAAAAACTTCAGTTTCTCCGCTGTTCTGATCACTGGAGGGTTTATCTTTAGTCTATTCACACTCTCAAAGAAACAAAATCCAAAAAAACTGAAACAATTTGTTTCCCTGTGAGAACTGAGAAGTGCTTAGGGTTTAACTTTTAATTACTACTATTATCATAGATTCGGGAAGTTTTGATGGCGCAGATTCAGGTTCTGCATCAAACTCCTGTGGCCGTTTCGACACATTAGAACGGTGTCATTGCCGCTCCAAACGGGAACTAGTTCGTTACAACGTCGTTGTACATTGGTAACCTAGAGCTGAATGTTAACAATTCACAACCCTACAATCTATTAATCGGGTTGGACAAGTTGTTTATGCTAGGGTTTGTAGGGATGAGTTAGGCCTAACCACAAATTATAAAATGGTATCTCGAGCCTATCGATTTGGGCCAGTCACCATTTATATGCGCACCAAGCCCGATAATGTTGGGCATAAGGGGGTGTGTTGGACAAACCGAGTCCCATATATGGACAATTTAGGCCATCCACCGTTTATATTCATGCACCAAGCTCAAATGTGCTGGGCGTGAGGGTGGTATTAGAAAAAAACCCAAGTCGCACATTAGTTAAAGATAGAGCCTAATAAAGGTTTTATACAAGCCGGTTTTGTAGGGACGAGTTTGGCATAACTCTAATTCTATTATTTATGCTAGTAGGTGAGATCAAATTCAAGTAGCCTATCCAAACAGCCCTATAGTAATCTAACTCATCTTAAAATTTAGCATAAATTACAAAGTAGAGTGAAGAAGTAGAGAATAATATGACTGAACAATAGAGCTAGTGAGGACATGATAGTCAATTTTATTATCATTGTAAATGTGGATTATTGAATTTTGTATTGAAATGTTCGATAATAGTTAGAGCTCAACATACTGCGAGATAAATATAACTTAGAGGGTATATGCATCATTGTGTCGTACAGATTGCAGAACTAAATATTGAAAGCATGTTTTATTGTAGTTTCTTCTTTTTCAATGTTTGTAGTGTTAGATAGGCCGTACTTTTTTACTGATATATGCCGACTCATATTCACGCAGAAACTGTCTTCCTTTTCAGGAATCAATGAAAGCATTGCTTAATATGAGAAGAAATGCAAAAGAGAAAGAGATAGAGGCATTGTTGTCTGAGGAGCACGATTCTTGTTCTTGCTACATTGAGGTTATTTGTAGTCATAGATATTTAAAAGTAGCTAATATTGCATTGCATGAGTGTTTTTCTTGAAAAGTATCCTCATATCTGTAACCCCGATTAGAGCTGTTCATGGTACAGTTTTGTCGGAAAGCCGAACGGAACGAACCATAGTAAAAGGTCACCTGAACCGAACCGAATTGTTTGAACTTACTTCAATCCGAACCGAACCGTTAAGTTTTACTCAGATCAGAACCGAGCCAAAATTATTGGTTTGGTATACTGGTTCGGAATTCCGAACCGTAACAAACCATCAGAGGACAACTTTTCCCAAACCGAACAATTTGTTAAAGAACCAAACCGTTATATTTTTTTCCTAAATTTTTTTAATAAAAAAAATTGAAACTTGTTTTTTATCATTTGGTTCGGTTCTAGGACTGTTTGTGCAACATGGTTCGGTTATTTTAACTTCAGTCCAATTCGGTTTGGTTCGACAGTTTTTTGAACAGTCCTAACCCCAATATAGATCTAAGAACTTGGTTTTTGCATGCTCTGGACAAGAATATTTTTTAAGTTTTATCTCCCCTCCCTTGTCCAGCTTTAGCAGGATAGTGAGCACTCAATGGCGCTGTTTGCTTTATTTTGTTATATAGGTTCAGGCTGGGGCTGGGGGTACTGAGAGCATGGATTGGGCTTCAATGATCATGCAGATGTATAAATCATGGGCCCAACAACGTGGATATAAAGTTACTGTAATGGAAGAAATGCCTGGTGAGGTTGCTGGAATCAAGGTTTGTCACTCTTTCCTATAGATTAAATTTATTCTCTATTATAGGGAACTGCTTGTTTCTGAATAAAAATCAGTATATTTTTTCAGCGAGCTACAATTAAAGTAGACGGTGAGTTTGCATTTGGATATGCCAAATCAGAAATAGGAGTCCACAGGCTGGTGCGCATATCACCTTTTGACAGTAATAAGCGCCGACATACTTCATTTGCTGCTGTAGCAGTCATTCCAAACCTTGGTGATCAATCTTCCAGTGTGCAGATTAACGAATCTGATCTTCGAATTGAACGATTTCGCGCTAGTGGTGCCGGTGGACAGCATGTTAATACTACTGAAAGTGCTGTAAAAATAACTCATATTCCTACAGGAGTTACTGCAACTTGTCAGAATGAAAGGTATGAAATATGTGAACAAATTCATGCGTCCACTCTCGTGTTCTTAAATATTTTGTTTGGTTGTTATTTTGAAACAGATCGCAACATCAGAATAAGGCTTCGGCAATGGCGGTGCTTCAGTCAAGACTAAACCAGCTGGAGATGGCACGCCAAGCGCAGTTGAATTCACAGCATACACAATCTCTCACTGACATAACCTGGGGTAGTCAGATACGTAGTTATGTGCTTCATGTAGGTTTGAGATTTTACATTTCCCTTATTTTTCTTGATAGATTTTAACTATACAATCATTACGTTAACTATTTTATGTATGATACAGCCTTACCGTATGGTGAAAGATCTCAGAACTAACTATGAGGTTTCAGATGCTGACTCTGTCCTTGAGGGAGATCTAGACGGTTTCATCATGAGTTATCTATCAGCTTCTTTGGATAAAAATGAAGATGATGCTTAAATGGATTAAATTACTAGATTATGTTGGCACTGGCACAGTGCATGTTTTTGATCAGTTTTGCGCAGGTGAAGGCGATCACTGTCTCACAGTTGCTGACATTGCTCATCAAGGTATACCGGTGTGTACAAGGATACATATTGTACAGCTTGCGATTGGTACTCTTGCGGTCATAAATTAATGAAATATCTACAATTGAGTTTGGAAGCACAAAGCTTGATTATTAAGAGCTTGCACTGTCCAAATAACATCTCAAATGGTTTATGCCGCTGCCGGTGCTCATGATTCTTGTGCTTTATGTCTCATTTCAAATTTTTATACATATATTAATAACTGTAATGATATTTGACATTCTATTTTTCTTCTCCTGATAAACGATACAAACAGAACTTGTGTTGTCAACTCTGCTCAAGGAATAACTGCAGTGGATAAATTTGTAATACATTTTTATGAATGAACTCGACTCATATTCTTAAGAGAAAAGTGTAATATCTCTGACTGATTAAGCGTGAAATACTAGAGAAAATTTGTTTTAAAATAAACTATACAATTGTAAAATAGACAACTAGTTTATTTAAAAATTGTAGGAGTACTACGGTTAGGTGTAGGGCTGTTTTCCTACAAATCTCTTCTATTTTGAATTGAATTTCAAGATTTGTTAAAAAACAATTTCTTTTCTCATAAATTTATGGTGTGATGCACACCTTGAAAATTCAAAATTGCCTTCCGAAATTTTTAGAGATGCATTTCTAAACGCATTTTCAATCTATTTTTCAAAAATTGGTCTGGAGATGTATTTACGAATATTTTTGGAATGAATTTGGAGATGCATATTCGAAAACTTTTATTTTAGATATGCATTTCCAAAAACTTCCCTGCACGTATTTTGGACAGAAATATTGTTTAAATTTGTATTTTTTTTTAATCTGAAGTTATTTTAATCAGACTAATAGAGTCACAATCTATAATTTGATTCAAACATTAATAAACACGAACATCATAGAATAAGATAATGCATTAATTAAAAATATATCAAAAAAATATTACAAATATAATTCTCAAAATATAGAAAATAATACTAAAACATTTGAAAATACAAAATAAAAAATAAAAATATAACCTACTACGTATGCTTAATTCTAACCCCATGACTCCTCCTCTGCCGCCAGTAATCCAAGACATTTCATGCCTAAAAAAGAATAGAACGTACCAAGGAGACCGCATTATCGTCACCTCTCTCAAAAAGCCCAGATTTTATGTCCTCATACGTAATTTGCATAATATTATGACTGATCGACAACACATCAACGACATGGTCATCTCTGACCCGCTCATTCTTCAGGATCTCCTCATGAACGTGTATAAGTGGACGTTCAGTAGTGTCTGGTGTCATGATAGAGTGTGACACAATAAAAAATCAAGTCAAGTAACCGTCAACATAACACCACTGACTTATGGCTGACATACTTCGATACTCCTCTGGTATCAAATGACTCGTAATTTGGCAGTATGTCATCAAGATGTCTGCGAACGATGTTGTTAGGAGTAGCCTCGAAGGGAGATTTCAGAATGATCTACACAAATTCAATCTGACACATGCATCGTTCCGACAGATACCTACACGTCAGATTCCTCGCACATGCTAGTCATTCACAATAATATGAAATGGGGTCGAAGCTCTAACTTGCTCATTTTGAAGAGCCCTATCGTGACAAACGGGCACGTGCTGCGTTTCACGATCAAGTCTCATTTTGTTATCGTTGTTTGCAACCATTCTTCTGGAAAAAACGAGAAAAAGACATCACTCTGCATATCAGGTCATTTTCGGATATGCATCTTCAAAAATCAGCGAGGACCCAATTCAAAGATGCATCTCTGAAAAATCCTGTGTTTGCATCAACGGAAGAAACATATACCACTCTTGCCCTAACAATCCAAAATGCAATCAAATTATAGTGCATGTCTGTAACAATTATCTATTTCGGATTCTAATACTACGAAATGCATTAAAAGTAAATTATTTAACCTAAGACTACTTGCAATGAGGGTGTTGAATAAATTTTTCAATAGTTGAATTGCTCTAATGGATTGGTGAATAAGGTGTTGAATGTGACATGGATTAATTTGTGTTGAAAACATTCAACATGTTGAACGAGAAATGAGTGGAGATCACTTATAATACTTTGCAAAATATAATTGGTTGTTGTGATTGTTTATATTTTTATCTCACCTAAATTATTTGGAGTCAATTATTTTATAGAAAATCAATTTTTTATTTTCACCAAAATTCATCATTTTTTTGTCTATAAATAGAGTCTTGGTTCATTTGATTTGGACAAAGAAAAAAAAACTATTTTTCTTTCTAATTTTTCTATTTAGCCTCCAATAAATTATTGTTTGTAGCTCTAAACAATTTTTTAGTGAAATGAATCCCAACAATAACCCTCTTATAAACAAAAAAACAAAAATATAAAAAGAAAATAAAAATATGAAATAAAAGTGGTGGAGTAAGGTGTTGAATTTTATTAAACAAAACCATTGTAGTGAGTAAAAGTTGAATGAATGTTGAATTATTAGGTGGAAGAGAGAGAAGATGATGTGGAGTGTAAAAAATGAGAAAAATGGGCGTTGAATAATTTTGCCATTGCAGATAGTCTAATACATTAGTCAAAAGAAGAAAAAAATTAAATGAGAAACTTACTCAAAAAAGTGTTGATGAGGATACAAATGTTGAATGTAGTATATGGAGTGAGTTGGGATTGGAAAGATTAAAGTAGAGATATTTTTGTTGCTTGAAAATTTGACTGGAACAATGTTGCTCACAAATTCCAATATAGATAAAAAAGTTTTAAAAATGAAGGAGGAGATGAAGCGTCTGACGCACATTATATATACATTGAACGCGTTGGGAGATGCATCTGCGGACAAATCCTAAACCACATATAGAGATGTATCTTCGAATTAAATTTTGATAAAGTGAGAGGAGCTCAATAATTTACGCTTATTTTGCGTAAAAGTTATGCATTCGACAGGCATTAGAGAGAACCTATAATGATGGAAAAAATTGCTCTTTTAAAATTGAGGATTTCTTATTGCACCTTAGATAGGTGAAAACATCCTATAAAAAATCAAAAATACCCCCCGAACAGAAATATATTTCCGGTGCGCACCTTATACACGTTAAATTCACTAGTTTTTCAGACTCACCCTATATCACACTCTTTTTTTTCTTTCCGAAAGTACACTTTTGATATAAAACCGAAAATATATTTCTGATTCCTTTGAGGATGCAAATAGTTTTGGATGCTTCATAGTTATATATAAGACTAATTGGATGCTTCATAGCTCTCTAACAATAAGACTAATATCTTCTAACTAAAAGAGTATCAAATCAAATATCTGTGTATATTGTGTGAACACTATAATCATGTAAGTACACTGTGTATATCAATAACTGCATTGTGAAGAGTATATTGTTGCCAATAGGGATTAGAAATACATTTCCAGTTTTATATCAGAAGTGTATTTTCGGTAAAAAAATAATGTGTATAGGATACACACCGAAAATATATTTACGATTTTTAGGAGTATTTTCGAAATTTCACGGGTGTCTATTATCAGCCCATTCAACCTAAAAATTACGGCCCATACACGTTAGGCCCATTATTCTCTCCCTTTCCGATTGCATGAACCTCAAAGCAAGAATCTGTTAATACGATTCTCCCTCTTATTCGAAGCATACGATGATTCCTTAACTGATTTGTCATTAAGAATTGTGTTATGTTCCCTGTAATATTGTTTCTGACATGCCATGGATTTCCAGAAGAACAGGGTTCGGTTTCTTGTAATTGTCTCTGCCATCATTGTTCTTAGCATCATAGGTACCCCTTTTTTCACCATTCTATTTATGCACTCACAGTTCAACATTTAACAATTATTGTTTCCTCATATTTGTATTGTTTTTTATAAGGCTTTGGTGTTGATTAATGACACTATTTCGGGGGATTTTCCTAATCCGGTCTATCTTAATTAAAATCTATTTTAAAGAATACTAATCTCAGAAATTAGTATTTTCAAATTTTTGTTGGAGGAAGTGTAAGAGTAAATTCTATGTCCAAATTGCATGTGATGATAGTTCTTAGAGATCTTAAGTTAAAATCTGATGCATAACCCCGAAAGTTAGCATTCTTATTTAGGAGATGGAAAATGAATGTTTCTTTCTTTTTTTATTTTGTTCGGTAATAACCACTAGAAACTCACATACAACTGTGAGAGTTAGGGTTCAAATATTGGTATTGACGTTAAACCTAACAATATCAACATTTTTGCCAGTTGAGTTAGGATTTGTGGACGACATTGCTAATTGAGTTAGGATTTGCGGACATGAATATTTCTTTTCTAACATGGATTCTATCTATTGCTTTGAGTTTGTTGTGTGTAAGTGTTTTATTATGATGTGATAATTAGGGATAAAAGGCTTATCTAAGTTTTTCTACTGATATAAACACGTGTGAGACTGTTTGAGAGAACTTATGAAAACGTTTGAGATATGTTTATAGTAAGAATTTTCGGCTTATTTTTATAAGTTTTCTCGATAGCTTTTGAAAAAATGTAAAGCTGATATGAAATCAATTCGACTTTATATTACTTTTTGTTATAGAAATAACTTACAAATAAAGCTCTTGTATGATAAGTGTTTATGCTATAAATGCTTAATTAAGTTGTTTACCTAAATAGGGTCTTAATTAAGCAACTTTGGTTTCTTCCATCAAATGTTACGTAAAGTGGTTTCCTTTGCCTTGGATTTTCATCTTTGACTATGGAAGCCCTACAAACTTGGAATTTCTGCTTATGCTCACATTCTCTGGAGCATCGGTACCTTTAAAAAAGGTGTGTCCGTGTTTGTTAGATGAGAAAATTGAATCTCCATTGATGAACATGAATACATGATTATGCATGAGGAAGATGATGAACATGCATAGAGTAATTAAGATGATGAACAT